CATCACAAAATTGTAAAGGAAAAAAACCCATATATATATAAAAAGAAAATTAGGGGCGCCTGGGTGGCTCAGTTGGTTAAGCAGCTGCTTTCGGCTTGGGTCATGATCCTGGTCCTGGGATCGAGCCCCACATAGGGCTCCCTGCTCAGCAGAGAGCCTGTTTCCCTCTCCCTCTGCTGCTCCCCCTGCTTGTGCTTGCTCTCTCCCTCTCTCTTTCTGTGTCAAGTAAATAAATAAAATCTTAAAAAAAGAAAAAAAGAAAAAAAAGAAAATACAATGAAAGGATAGAATATAACTGTAAAAATGAAAGTTAAAAAAGACTTAGAGTTGATAAAATAAGAAATTGGTTGAAAAAGAAAGTGAAAAAAATTAAAAATGAAAGACTAAAGAACCATGAGAAAAAAACCATGAATTCTAATACTATTTTCCCCTAGCACTGGAGTTTTGCAGTTCTGTGTGATGGGTAAACTTGGTCTTAGCCATATGTTCTTGCCAGTCTTCTGGGGGAGGAGGGGCCTGTTGTACTGATTCTCAGGTGTCTTTGACCCTGGCGGAATTGCACCACCCTTGCCAGGGGGCCAGGCTAAGTGTAAGTGACTCTGGATTGCCCTAAGTGGCTTTTGTTTCCTAAAGGCTTTCCGCGCAGCTTTAGAGGATGAGAATGAAAATGGTGGCCTCCCAATCTCCAGCCCCAGAGCTGAGAGCTCGGGGCCCCACTGCTCAGTGTGCCCTCAGGGAAAAGCAGTCAATCATTCCTATCTCCATGCTCACCCAGCCCCTGACCCAGCATTTCTATCTCAGCCTTGTGACCCCACTTTGATTCTTCAAACCCTGTTGACTCCTGTTGCATGCATCTGTGTTGCTCCTGCGGGGGGAGAGAAGGGGTTCTCCCCATGGTTCTGCTGCTTGCTGGGCCCCTGCTTGGAGAGCAGTCACCCGACCGTGCCACTGTGGTTCTCGGTTTATGGCAACCCAGAGCTGAGAGCCCACTCCTGGGCTCGGTGATAGCAGCCAGCTTCCCTGCTCTGATGCCTGGGAGTTCTGCTGCACTCATGTACTCCTGGTCTCCCTGTGACCCCGAGGGTCCTGAAACCACACTGTCCCACTTAGGATTCTGCCCCACTTCACCACCTGAGCACCTTTCAGGCAGGGACATCCCTCACCGCAGCCGACTTCTAAAAGTTCTGATTTTGTGCTCTGCTGCTGTATCACTTTCTGGTAGCCAGCTTAGGGAGGCTCCCACCCCCATTTATCTTCCCATATATTGCCTCAGATTCACTTCTCTGCACCTCCTACTTTGCAGAAAGTGGTCGCTTTTCTAATTATAGAGTTGTAACTATTCTTTTATCTCTGGTTGAGTTCGCAGATGTTCAGAATGACTTGATAGGGGATATAGCTCAGTGGTAGAGCATTTGACTGAAGAATGACTTGATAGATCTAGCTGAATTCCTGGGACCAGACAAAACTAAGGTCTCCTACTCCTCTGCCATCTTGGATGCCATTTTCTTTTTTTTTTTCAGATTTATTCATTTATTTTAGAGAGAGAAAGAGAAAGAGTGTGGGGGGTAGGGGCAGAGAGAGAGAGAGTCTCAAGCAGACTCTGCACTGAGCATGGAGCCTGATGTGCGGGGCTCTCTCTCAGGACTCTGAGATCATGATCTGAGCCAAAACCAAGGGTGGGACACTTAACCAATGGACCAGGTCTTCTTCCTGCTTTTTCTTTGTAACACTTATCAGGACTTTATACTATATATTTTATGTATTTACTTTGTGTTTTGTTTCCTCTGTAGAATACAATCTCCATGAGGGAGGAATTTTTGTCTGAGATGTTTTGTATGAAAGTGCATGGTACATAGCTTAGTAGGCTCTCAGCAAATATTTGTTGAATGAATTAATTTAAAAAAGTAATTTATTGCCACATGTAACTATTAAGTCTGAAACAGTTGTGGGACTGAAATTACCCTCCGGAGGGAGAGAGATTATTCATTAAGCAAATCTCTCCAGAGGAGGATGGGAAAGTGTCTTTAGGTTTAGTGCCCTAGAATACAAGTAAATATCAGAAAAAATATATAAAGTAACATAAGAAATATGAGAAAAAAAGGAATATAGGTAAATATCTTCCAGGGGAGGTAGGGAGAGGGCTTTTATTTCGCCAAAGCTCATTGGAGGTCTCTATCTTTAGGGAGACACATTCTCTAGCTTCCAAGGCTGGATATTATGCAATTATTCTTATAGTACCTTTTGCTCAGAAGCCTCTGATTGTGCAGGAACATGGGAAATCCAGAGAGAATTGTTTCTCAACAGCAATTCTAAAATTCTAGCAGTTACATCTATTCACACCTGAATTCACCTGAACTCAGGTGTGATTAGCTCTGGGGACAAAATACTTTCAGAGTTTTCATTTCTCTTTCCATCTCTTGGCTTTTGTTTTCTCTGGGTTGGCTCTCTGACAAGTTGGTATCTACCATGTTCTTTCAGTTTAGCAACCTCAGCCAAAAGAGAACTTCCTAATGAGTTCTGGCAAAAATTTTGGGATTGAGTTTTAGTTGTCCAATTGGATCACATACCCATTCCTGAACTACTGCTTGGGGAAGGAAATATGCTGATTATCCAGGCCTGGGTTATGTACCTATTCTAGGAACTTTGTGCTTATTTCAGGAACCTATTTCAGGAATTCTTATTTTGAATCCGTGAGGCATTACTGCCTCATCTATTTTTCATCCAAAATCATATCACGAACAAGAAATTTTTTGTGAAAACATGATTTTAAATGGATGTAAAATTATATTTAAATTTACTGCTTCGTTTTAGATATTTGGCTTACCAGAATTAAATTTTGGTTAATCACAATTGGGTGTTATTTAGAGAAGTAGGAGGGGTAGAAGTGAGAAAGAGAAATATGCACCATGAGCATGAGAGGCAAGGGAGATGCCTAACACACATAAGACTGGCTTTCAGGGTCATGCAGCTACAGGGTATGACCCTGAGAGTGAATGTCTCCATAAATTTTGCACCCTAGGCACCCCTCTTACTTCATGAAGAGAAGCATAGTTAAGGAATAGGAACTATATTTTTACTATGATTGTGAGTTAAAGATGGTAGCCTATGTGGTTGGGGAAGTTAGTGGGGAAGATTAAGGTGCACTAGAAAGTAGTTACTACGCATTTTCAACTTGTCTCTAGGAATCTTTGCTGAGTTCTGATGAGAATGATTGTATCTTTGAGGTAACATAAGGAATATAGTTTTTATTCAATGGTTTATATTAGTTTGATGAAAGAAATGTTCCATTTAGAAATGCCACCAGGGTAGTTGTTACTTATTTTTAACCCAAACTATTTCAGTATCATATGGAAGATAGGGTTTTTTCATTGAAAAATAAAAATTGTAGAAACACGTTATGTTGGAGAGTGACACATAAATAACAGATGGGTGCTTTGACTAGCTTCCTAGAGCAAGACACTTGGCACTGCACTGCTCAGTGTTGGGCATGGAATCTTAGTTGAATAGTTACCTTTCTTGTTCTTAGGTCTTTGAAAATAACTGTTTCTATATCACAGTGAAACACCAGAATGTGAAATTCTAGGTATTCTCAGCTGAGCTTGCTGATAGAGAAGTGGCTAAAACATTTCAAATTAAATGGATAGTTCAGTAATTTTGGGGTCTGTCCCTGGAGTGGAATTCACTAACATACATAATATGTACATTTTTGTACACACTCATACATTTAGTTCTTTGGAAATCTTTATAAGTAACACTGTTTACTGTATTATATCTAAGGGGCTTAACTGAAGATAAGCTATTGACAGCAGCATGATTAAAATTTTCATATTTAAGTATCATTTAAAGTCATGAATTTTACCATTTAATGTAAAAACTCTTGTTAAAGTCCTACTTTACACCGAAGTGTACAAGTCAGGGAAAGCCATAATTTGCCTTGGAAATTCGTTCATTTGGTACTCACTTGTTTGGTGGCTACAATGTTCCAGGGATTGTGTAGGATGCTGGCTATAGTAAGATGATAATCCCTGTTCTCAGTCATGTCACAGTTTAATGAAAGAAGAGGGATGTAATAATACTCTCATTATATGTAGATTAGATTTCCAACCAGTTCTAGCTTTGGGAACCTTGCCAAATCTACAGGAGAACATATACTTATCTGGGGGGCCAAGAAGGAATCTTTTTGGAAATGAGTAAAAAGCTTAGAAGAGTGGGAGACTTGGAAGATATTCTTTACATACTTTGGCCAATTTCCTGACCAGAGGGAAGGAGTAATCTTATTGGTAACCCCCATGAAATGTCCTCTGATTATTGTGAAAGTCAGTGAAGTGGGGGAAATGACAGGAAACAGAATAAGCAAACATTCTTATAACCAAGAAGTCGGGATTAGACATACAAGGGTCTGAGGCAGAAAATGAGGCCTGGTGACAGAGCTGTAAACGACATATATTGACATCAGTGATTAAGAAGAGAGCCAGTGACCAAGAAGCACCTTAGAAATTCTCCTAGTGACAAGAATTGAGAGAACAGCTGACAGAGGAGTCAGGCTTTGGCATGCTAAGGTGTATTAAAGAAAATGCATATATGCTGGGAGAATCTTTCCCAAACCTTACCAGCCTTTGAGAGTTTTTCTTACATAGTTAATTACTTCTTTAGGCTGTAATAATATTTTAACAAATGCACTTGCTTCTTTTGATATGCTTCAAACTAAAAATGATTTTTATGCTATGAAAATGGAGAAAAACATGAATTACCTATTCAAAACGGAATAGATTAGGGGAGAAGGTAAGATGCGTTACACATCGAGAAAGTTGTGGAAAGAAATGGGAGGGCGTAAGCAGGGGGTGGAAAAGTTAGGTAAATATAGCATTCTTATTCTTCATGTGGTGACTCTGAGACACTGTCCCAGTTAATTTCCAATAGTAGCCTGCTATACTCCATGTGCACATTTTCACTTTTTCTCTGCCGTTAACGTTTCTGACTCCTTGAATTTCTTCTTGCAGCTCATGTTTTCTGGCCAGACCTGTGGTCATTCCCGTGAGACTTTACTGCACATTTTCTCAAGTGTCTTCCTCATCCCCAATGTGTAATCCTTCAACATGGACCTGCTATTTTAGCTGAGATATGACCAGCAATGAATAGTAGTAAGGTAGGATTACTTTACTCTTCTTAGTGAATTACTAAAAACTGAAACTGTGAAACAGTTTTGACTTCTCTTGATTTTGTAGTGTTTATGTTAGAATATTTTACCTACACAATCATTTCATATTAGTTTTATGTATTTTTGCTTGTCATTTATCCTGCTGAATTCTATCTCATTTGCGATGTAATTATTTTTTTTTCAACTAGCATTTACATTCAGCAGAATTCCAATCCATAACCCTTTCCAGCCTGTGTGTCCACTAGTCCTGTATTTTCAACCACATGGCACCAAACTGAATATATCTTCTCAGTCACTCCTCCTCTAGTTTCTGTATTTCCATTAATAGCATTTGTTTAGTACAGTCATATATTCATTTACTATTTCATTCATTTGTTGTTTGCTGTACAGTGATAGACTTCTATTACATATCAGACAGTTTGCTGCTTCTGGGGATATGATGATGAATGAACTGGATATTCCATCCTTATAGCTGTATTTTAAAGTGGGGGGACAGGTTTAAAAATAAACTGACAAAATAATTATGAATTATAATAAACTTTTTTGAAGGAAAGCAAAAAAACAGATAATTTGGAGACAATGAGGTAGGAGCTACTTTAGATAGGGTGGTCACAAAAGGAGTTGATATTTAAGATTAACCTATATATGAGAAGGAGCTATTTCAAGAGTAGGTGGTGTGTGTGTGTGTGTGTGTGTGTGTGTGTGTGTGTGTGTATGATATTTTTGGTGGGGAAAGCATTCTCATTAGAAGGAATAGTGGAGTGAAATAAGTCAGAGAAAGACAAATACTATATGTTCTTACTCATATGTGAAATCTCAAAAAGCCCAACTCCTAGAAATAGAGTCGAATGGTGGAGCTGAGGAGTAGGGGAAGCTGAGGAGTAGGGGAAATGGGGAGATGCTGATTAAATGGTACAGACTTTAAGCTGTAAGATAAATAAAATTTGGGGATCTGATGCACAATTTGGTGACTATAATTAACAATACTGTATTATGTACTTAAAATTTGTTAAGAGAGTAGATCTTAAATGTTATCACCACGTTCACACACACACAATTATAATTACATGAAGAGATGGAGATGTTAATTAACCTTATTGGGGTAGTCATTTTGTAATATATGCATAGATCCAATCATCACATTGTATACCTTAAAACTTACACATGTTATATGTCAATAATACCTTAATAAAGCTGGAGGCAATAGAGGGAAAGAAGGAATAGTGGGTACAAAGACTTTGGAGCAGGAAAGTTTGGTGAGTTTGAGGAACAGAAAAAACCCCAGTGTGGCTGACTTAGTGAGAGAGCAGAGATGGGTAAGAAGAGGTTACAGAAATACGCAGGGCTTTGGGCTGCCTGGGTGGCTCAGTCATTAAGTGTCTGCCTTTGGCTCCAGTCACGATCCCAGGATCAAGCCCTGAATCAGGCTCCCTGTTCAGTGGGAAGCCTGCTTCTCCCTCTCCCACTCCCCCTGCTTGTGTTCCCTCTCTTGCTGTCTCTGTCTATCAAATAAATAAATAAAATTAAAAAAAAAAAAAAAAGAAATATGCAGGGCTTTGAAGGGTTTGGTAGGAAGCTTGTATTTTAATTCTAAATGATATCATCATTTGAGCTGCTGTGTAAGGAAGGGACTGCTGGGTGAAAGTGCAAGCTGGCAGTTTTAGGAGCTGAGGTGAGATAGTGGTGGCCTGAGAAGGTGCTAGCAACCTGAGAGATGGATGGATTTGAAATGTATCTGAATCAGAATTTGTGGGACTTTGAATAGTTTGGGTTTGGAAACAGAACATTCCCAAGGATGACTCCAAGATTTTTGGGTTTTGAGCAACTGGGTGGATGCTGGCGTCATGCCCAGAAACCTTTTAGACAACTATCTTTCCCATTATGTTAAAGATTGGTTATTTCACCAAAAGGGAAATTAATTATAATATTAGAAATAATGTTATACTGGAAATAAAACCATCTAGCAAGTTTGTCATATGTTCTGGTTAATACTTTGTTTTGCTTTTTCCCCTGAAATTTAATTTATATGACTTTTTGTTTCTATTTTTATTTTATTAAAAGAAAAAATTTTTTTAAAGATTTTTATTTATTTATTCATGAGAGACAGCGAGAGAGAGAGGCAGAGGGAGAAGCAGGCTCCCAAGGAGTAGAGAGCCTGATGCGGGACTCGATCCCAGGACTCTGGGATCATGACCTGAGCCGAAGGCAGACGCTTAACCATCTGAGCCACCCAGGCGCCCTAAAAAAAATTTTTTTGAGCATAGTTGACACACAGTATTACATCAGTTTCCGGTGTACAACAGAATGATTTGACAATTTTATACATTATGCTATACCCAGCACAAGTGTAGCTACTCCATCTGTCACCACACAATGCTCTTGACTGTACTCCTTGTGTGGTTCCTTTTAATTTATATGACTTTTATAATTATGAATTTAATTTCATTTGACTTCAGAATCTTCTTGGAAGTGAAAATAACTGGCCATACTTTGTATTGAATTTTTAAAAAAGATTTTATTTATTTTTGAGAGAGAGAGAGGCTGTGTGTGCGCATGTGCAAGCAGGAGGAGGATCAGAGTGGGAGGGGCAGAGGGAGAGGGAGAAAAAACCTCAAGCAGTCTCGGAGATGAGTGTGCAGCCAGATGCGAGATCACAACCTGAACTGAAACCAAGGGTCCGACTCTGAACTGTCTGAGCCACCCAGGCGACCCTACTTTGATATTGAATTTTAAGCCTTCTCCCCTGTGCTGTCTTTTTAAAAGAGATGTCTTGAAAATTATAAGCTAGTCTGAAATATTCTCAGACTGTTACCCAAAATTCTGATATATAATTTTATTGTTATTTTATTTTGCAAATTCTGGGGCATACTGTCATTAGATGTATATCATACTGTGTTCACTTGAAAGCATGCAGCTTGTCTAAACTCTTAGGAGGTTCATTTATTATGGTTTTTCTTTTTGTAGCTTCATCAGAGTATATTTATATTCTGCCTCTTAGGATAGATATTTGAGGTGCAAACTGAAATTGAATAGATATTAAAATAAATCTTTCCAATTCTGTGTTACTTATTTCTTTTCTTTCTTTCTTTTTAAAGATTTTTATTTATTTGAGAGAGAGAGAGTGAGAGGAAACACAAGCAGGGGGAGTGGGGGAGGGGAAAGCAGGTTCCTGCAGAGCAGGGAGCCCGATGCAGGGCTCTGCAGGGCTCCATCCCAAGACCCTGGGATCATGACCTGAGCCGAAGGCAGACGCTTAAGGACTGAGCCACTCAGGCGCCCCCCTGTGTTACTTATTTCTTTTAAGTTAATTAGTAGTCCTATCTTTCTTTCTTTTTTTTTTTGATGAAGAATTTTAAAGATATTTTCTCAAAAGAGAGGAATTACTATTTATTGTTTGTGTTACATGTGACAGACATTTGGCTAGCTGTTTTAAATACTTCATTTTATCCTTAGAATAGTCCAATGTATTTTTCCACTTTGTGTAGAGTTATCTTTTGGGTTCTAGAGCTAAGAAGTAGTAGTAGAATAATGGAAATTTGTAGATGGAAGGACTTGGAAGTCATCTATTTCCTCCTCTTTTAGCTGAGACCTAGAGAGGTTCTGTGACCTACCCAGAATCACACAGCTGATTTTCACTTTTGCTGAGACTAATGCTGCTTGCACTCCTTATGTTTCATTCCAGCTGGCCTCCTCTCATGCTTTCTATCTTCCCATCCCTTCAACATCTCATTATGATAAAGTTCAGTGCTACAGAACAATGGAAAATATAGGACAGTGAACACCCATATTACCTTTCATCTATATTCACTCACTGTTCACATTTTGCCACATTTTCTCTTTATATATATACATATTTTAAAGATTTATATATATTATATATATATATTTTGAAGATTTATTTATTTATTTTAGAGAGAGCACATGTGCGCAAGCAGTGGGGGAGGGGCAAAGGGGGAGGTTGGAAGAGCAGTGATTTGGACATGGCACTAAGGAATAAGGATAATGTTACCCATCCTTCCACCCCCTCAGCCCCATGGCTATGGTTGGTACCATGTAGGGAGGGTGTGGCCTCCACCTGTGAGCACTATGTTTTTGGGGATCCAGGTTTCAGATAGAGTAAGCAGTTGAAGGGTAGAGATTTAGGGAAATTTGTTTACAGACTGAATGGAATTCTAGAAGAACAATTTGGAAAGATATGACTTTAGAGAAAGGATGGAGCAGGAGTGGGGATTAGGCCTTGCCTTTTTGGAAAAGACTGAATTATAAAAAGAAGTCAAGAATGGAACTGAATTTCCTCCATGTTCTCAACAGTGGCATGAGGTTTGTCTAATTCAGGTTCTCTGAGAGGCTGTGTTATTGCAGGTAGAAACTGGCTTTGGCTTAGTTCATTTGGATTATAATTTATGAAACCTTCTTGGTTGCCATTCTGCTACTGTATGTCTTTAATGAACCTAAGGTACACATATGGAATTTGAAATTATTTTGACTTCTTCCTGTATTGCTACTCTCTTTGAAGGGAAAAAAAATTGTTTGACCTTAATTGGAACACTGAGCTCTTTTATAATAATTAATCACTTAGGAAGAGTAAAAGGTTAAGAGGTATCTAGATTATGGTTATATTTCTAGAATTTAGACCATACAGGGTAGTATGCATTGTAGCCATACTTAATATTTTTAATCTTTGTTCCCCTGTTTTCCTTCAGATTAACAGTGTTTCACCAATATGTCCCGCATTTTCCCACCTGTGTAACCTTGCTTATGTTTAAACTTCTAATTGGAAAGTAACCCTCCTTCATTACTTGCTCTTCTATGTCCTGTCTTGTGTGGAGATGCTGTCTCTCTCTCTCATGCTTTATTAGTAATGATTACTTTTTAAATAAGTCTCTCCAAAGCCAGGCACATTATATACTTTATCTCATCTAACCTTCATAACAACCCTGCAAAGTAGATATTACTATCCCAATTTTAAAGATCAGAAAACTGGGCTT